GGGGGGAGAAAAAGAAAAATGTTCTTTGGGAAAAAAAATAGAAGAAGGAAAATATTCCTTAATGTCCCACTTTAACATTTGGTTTATTTTCTTTCAGTCTTTTCCCACTTCGCTTGTGATTTATTTTTTCTCTCTTCCTCCCTTCCTTTCAACATTGCCATAATGAATTATATATAAAATTGATAGCTAACTTACTGAGAACTTAATTGCACAGTAGACCTTGTGCTAATGAAGACTTTATATGCTTTATTTAATTTGATTAACCTGACTGTAAGTGCTGATTTTTTAACTTATTATATCGTAATTATTTTCCCATTTTAGCGTATGGTCTTCATAATCATCTTTTTTGTGGCATGATAATATTCCATCCAGTGCAATATTTGTGTCTTCCTTAAATCATTAAGCTCTTAAGTTGTTGTCCATTTTTTCCTAATTATAAAAAATACTGGGATGCTATCTTTTTCTCCAGAGCGTTTTCCTAAGGATTATCATTTTTAGGATATATTTCCAGGAGCAGGATTAGTGGGTCAAAGAGTATAAACATATTGCAAAATTCCTTGTCTTAAACTGTCAGAGCACCTTCACATCTACTGTTTAATGTGATGTGATGCTTCATGCTACTCTGAGATGGGTGGGAGAGAAAGCATCACTGCCATCTTACAGGTGAGATGATTGAGGTAAGTTCCTAAGGTCACACAGTTAGAGGAAGAACCAGAATTAAAACACATGTTTCCCAACTCGCTCTTGAGTTCTTTCTCCACTGTCTCCCCAAAGTGAAACTCACACTGAACTGTCCTTGACACTTTCCTTTCCAGACATCTCAGCCTTTACCTACAAGGGCTTCTCTGTCATGGGACCTTTTCCTTTCCCTAATGGCCATTCTGCTTCAAAAGGAAAATAAGACCTCTGACAGCCCAAGGACCAAACACTGTGAAGCCTTCTATTAAGTCTAAAGAGGACAAAAGATGAGATAGGGAAGAGAACGTGAGAAAACAAAATGAAATACATTAAATCAGAATATGGGACAGGAGCTCTGAGATGGTACACAAAGAGCAAACAAGAGAAAACTGGTTTTAGAGGACCTCAAAGTGTAAGAGGAGGTGTTTGAGCTGAAGATAGTGAAAGGTTTTGACTTGGAGAGCATAGGGGTCATGGTATGACCTTTCTGTACACAATTGCACCTGGGACTGTCTTGAACTGTTAAATCTACTTTTTTAAAATATCAATTCACTTTCTCAAGATACAAACTGTCTTAGCTGTCTAGTGCTGCTATAACAGAAATACCACAAGTGGATGGCTTTAACAAACGGAAATTTATTCTCTCACAGTCTAGGAGGCTAGAAGTCCGAATTTAGGGCACCAGCTCCAGGGGAAGATTTCTCTCTCTGTCAGCTCTGGAGGAAGGTCCTTGACATCAACCTTCCCCTGGTCTAGGAGCTTCCCAGTGCAGGAACCCTGCGTCCAAAGGATGCGCTCTGCTCCCGGCATTGCTTTCTTGGTGGTATGGGGTCCCCCTGTCTCTCTGCTTGCTTTTCTCTTTCATATCTCAAAAGAGATTAACTTAAGATACAACCTAATCTTGTAGATTGAGTCCTGCCTCATTCACATAACTTCATCTAATCCTGCCTCATTAACACCGTAGAGGTAGGATTTACAACCCATAGGACGGTCTCATCAAATGACAAAATGGCAAACAATCACACGATACTGGGAATCATGGCCTAGCCAAGTTGACATACATTTTTAGGGAACACAATTCAATCTGTAACACAAACCAAACAATAATTTGTGTTTTCTCTTTTCTCTTTATTTTTAAATGAATGATCAAAAAGTAACTTCAAATGAGTGTTTTCCGACCACAGAAGAGAGTGAATCCTGCTTTGCCCAACCTAAACCATGTAAAATGGGAAAAGAATCCACTTTCTATGGAAACGCTCAAAAGGAAAGCTTTCCTCCATTGGAAAAGCTTGAGATCTCAGCAACATCTACAGCTAATGGTGTTAAATCCCTCTATGAACACCCCTTGGCCTCCACAAGAAAGGATGTAGCTGATCAACCAGGATCCACAGGAAAGGAATTAGCAGATCAGCCAGGATCCACAGAGAAGACTCAGCTTCTAGAGGGACCTCAGGACTCTGGGCCACCTCAACCACATGGCAAAGATGATACCCCCGGCACAGAAGAAAAGAAGAAAGACATGGAAGCAGCGACAGCGGCTCAGCCTTTGAAAGGAAATGCTGAGACTGAAACTTCAGGAACAGATGCCGAGGGTCAGCCTTTGAGGACGGTAGGAGAGAAGCCCTCTCCTGGAACAGTGGAAGGTACTGAGAATCCACAAACTGACAAAGAGGTGAAACCTTTAGGAACGTCTGAGAAAATTCATCCTCTGGAAACAGCTGGAGAGCTACAAACTCAAGAAATAGCGGAGAAGGATGACCAGCCCCAGCTTCCAGAAATAGTTCCCATAGAAAATGAATCTTCAGAAATATTGGAGGGAAGTCAGATTGTGGAAACAGCTGTAGAGAATGATACCCTCCATAAAGCTCCTGAAGTTCCTGGAAGCATAGAGCAGATCCAACCAGAGGCAATAGTTGGAAGCATGGAGCATCCAGCTGGAATTATAGAGGCAGAGGCAAATGTGGAAATGGTCAGGGAAATTCACACTAATGAAAAGGATCAACACATTGAAGGTAAAAGTTGTTAAAAATCCAGGATGTTTAGATGAACTCTGTGGGAGCAGCTCTGGGGGTGGGGGTGGCTGACCCACAGTCACTGGAGTCCCTGTCTTAGGTAGTTGAGTTTATTTGACCCAAAAAAAAAGGTTTCCATTCATGGGAAACGAGCATTCTGTCAATTCTAAGTTCAGCTTTTCAGCAAAAATTTTCTAAAGCATAGTCTGTATCCAGATTTCCAACCTAGAGCTTGACTGTTAAATAGAATCAAATATTGAAGGCAACATGTTAAAATTTCTGAATTTTTCCCAGTTCCTTCTTCATCAAGCCACATGTATAGTATGAGCATACCAAAGTCAAGGGAATAAATGGCTAGCAGAGGAGCTGAGCTTTCAATAAAAGAATGCACAAATAATGGATCTCAGGATATAATTGTCATCTTTGCTAATCTTATCCTTAGGAAAGGACTGTCAGTCTGATTCCTACCCTCCTTTAGTCTTTTTTTTTCCTCTGAATTTTATTTATTTTGTTGTTGTTGAGAATATACACAGCAAAGCATATACCAATTCAACAGTTCCTACGTGTGCAATTTAGTGACATTGATTACATTCTTCTAGCTGTGCAACTTTTCTCACCTTTTCTGAGTTGCTCCTTTCTCATTAACATAAACTCACTGCTCACTAAGGTTCCTATCAAATCTTTCAAGTTGCTGTTGTCATTTCGATCCCATATAGGTAGTTCTTAAAAAGCACAATGCTCAAGGCAGACCTTTGTTACTAGTTAAGCTAAACTACTGTTCAGTTTTGGAGCCCTGGTGGCGAAGTGGTTAAGAGCTCAGCTGCTAACCAAAAGGTAGGCAGTTCAAATCCACTAGCTGCTCCTTGGAAACCCTATGGGGCAGTTCTACTCTGTCCTGTAGGGTCATTATGAGTCGGAATCAACTTGAAGGCAATGGGTTTGGTTTGGTTTATTGTTCGGTTTTAAGATGACTTCAGGAGATATTTTTGTTTAAGGTTTAAAGATTATCTTAGGGCAATAGTTTCAGGGATTCATCCACCCTCCATAGCTCCATGAGAATTTGAAATTCTGTTCTACATTTTCCCTCTTTTGATCAGGATTCTTCTATGGAATCTAATCAAAATGTTCAGTATTGGTAGCAGGGCACCATCCAGTTCTTCTGGTCTTATAGCAAAGGAGGCAGTTGATCATGGAGGCAATTAGCCACATATTCCATATCCTCCTATTTCTGACTGTCCATCTTCCTCTGTTGCTCCAGATGAATGGAGACCAATTGTTGTGCTTTAGAATGCTGCTGGCAAGCTTTCAAGACCCCAGGCGCTATGCAACAACCTAGGAGGTAGAGCAGAAGCGCTTAACACATTATTAGGCCAAATTAACAGGGATGTCTCGTGAAACCATGACCCTAAACCTCCAAACCAAGGAACCAAATCCCATAAGGTGTTTGGTTGTACATAAGCAGCTTTCTTTGTTGTTGTTGATGTTGTAAATATATTTATCACACAACCTTTGCCAATTCAACTTTTCACAGGCGTACAACTTATTGACAGCAATTACAATAATTGGCTGTACAACCCTACTATTAATCAATGTGATTTTTCATCACCGTTAAGCCCCCTTTTACCCCTCTCTTTCACCCATGGTAACCACTAATAAACTTTGGTTTCTATACATTTGCCTTTTCTTGTCTTTTTATATAAGTGAGGTCATACAATATTTGTCCTTTTGTGATTGGCTTATTTCGCTCAGCAAAATGTCTTCAAGCTCCATCCATACTGTAGCATGTATCAAGACTTCATTTCCCCTACTGGCTGTGTAGTATTCCATTGTGTGTATATACCACATTTTGTTTATTCATTCATCTGTTGATGGGCATTTAGGTTGTTCCCACCTTTCAGCTATTGTGAATAGTGCTGCAGTAAACATCGGTGTAGAAATCTCTTTTTGAGTCTCTGCTTTGAAGTCTTTTTAGTATTTACCTAGGAGTGGAATTGCTGGGTCATATGGTAGTTTTATTTTTAGTTTTTTGAGGACCCACCACACTGTTTTCCATAACCATTTTACATTCCCATCAGCAATGGATAAGGTTTCCAATTTGCCCATATCCTTGACAACATTTGTTATTTTCTGTTTCTTTTTTTTTCCTCTTTTTTTAATCTTAGCTATCCTAATGGGAGCCAAATGGTGTCTTATTGTGGTTTTGGTTTGCATCTCTCTGATGGCTAAGATGCTGAGCATCTTTTCATGTGTTTGGTGGCCATTTGAATATCCTCTTTGGTGAAATGTCTATTCGAGTCTTTGCCCATTTTATGATTGGATTATTTGTCTTTTTGTTGTTAAATTGTCAAAGTTTTATATATATTTTGGTTATTAGATTTTTATCTGATACATGGTTTCCGCAGATATTCTCCTGGTCTGTAGCTTGTCTTTTCACTTTTTTTGTAAATTCTTTTGTTGAACAAAAGTTTTTAATTTTTACAGGGTCTCATTTATTTATTTTGTCTTTTACTGTTTGTGCTTTTGTTACTATAATAGATAATCCATTGTTGAAAGCTAGGCCTGACAGCATTGCCTCTGCTTGTTCTTCTAAGAATTTTATGGTTTTAGTTCTCACATTTAGGTTCTCATTCCATTTTGAATTTGTTTTTGTGTATGGTGTGAAGCATGGATCCTGTTTCATTTTTCTGCATGTGGAAATCCAGTTTTCCCAGCACCATTTATTGAAGAGACTCTTCTTTTCCCATCTAATGTTTTCCACACTCTTGTCAAAAATCATTTGACCACAGATGTGTGAGTTTATTTCTGGACTCTCCTATAGTCTTTTTATCTTTATAAGAGGAGTAGAAAAAATGTATTGTGTCTTGGCATATGGTATTTTTTATTTTTAAATATATCTTACCAGCATAAAGCAAATGAAACTTATACTGTTCTTTATTGGAGTTACGATGAAAAATAGCATCTTCTTCTGAGGCATGATTTATGTTTTGGTAAATTTTAGCTCACAGTACAGTATAATTAAGTTTCCCATCTATTTCTCAATTCTTTTATTCATTAACTCAGTGTCTTTTGAGTGCCTAACCACATACTAGGTGCTGGGGGTGCACAATGAGTAAGAGATGACTCCTGCTCTCAAGGGGCTCACGGTCTAGTGAGCAAAGGCAGAATGTAAAAGTACCTCAATCTATTGAGGTAAGTTTTTAAATAAAAGTGTATAAAAAGTGCTCTAGAAACAACAAGGGAGAAGCAACTAAAAATATGTTTTTTAGACCAGGGATGGCAAATTCAAGTCTTTAGGGACTAACCAGTTACCGTCAAGTTGACTCCAACTCACGGTGACCCAAAGTGTGCAGAATAGAGCTGCTCCAAAGGATTTTCAAGGCTGTGACCTTTTGGAAGCAGATTGCCAGGCCTGCCTTCTGAGGCTCCTCTGGGCAATTTTGAACCACCAGCCTTTTGGCTACTAGTTGAGTGCTTAACAGTTTGTGCTACCCAGGGAATTTCTTTAGGGACTAGGATAATAAAAATGAGTGAAGTGAGGGGCGCATGTAATACTGTAGGGAGCCCTAGGAGGCCATGATGGGCAGGAGAGCACAGCCCTGACAGAAGAGGCAGCTGCTGCTTGGTCCTAGATGATTGTTCCCATACGAGAATGAGAGCCAGTGTTGCCAAAACCGACTTCTCAAGGAAACAGATTTGTATGTGCAATGTCCAGACTTTTAAATATTGACAGTCTTTAAACACTTAACTATTGTTTTCTTTAAACACCATAATGGCCAAACAAGACAGATCACTGGGCCCCCGTGGACCACCTTTTGCTTTATGTATAAATGGAACTTTCTATCTGTAGTACGTTCTACTGTCATTTCTTGGGTCATTGTGCATCTTGGTTTTATGCAAGAGAATGCCAGGACTCAGAGAGGTTAAGTACTCGACACTGGCCATTCAGAGGATCTGAGAGAACCAGGGAAATTATCACTGCCATCCCATTTATCACCTTTCATGACACTACCATAGACACCTACTGTTTAGACCTAAAGAGCAAGAACTGCCCCCATTGGAAGCAAATCGTTGGTACTTTATTGTCACTGCTAAATGAATGTCTCTTAATATCTCCTTTGGTTACTTTTCCAGGTGAGACCGGAGAAAAGGTTGAAACTGACATGGAGAATGATAAAGTAAGTGAAGGGGCTGAAACAAAAGAAGAAGAAACAGGAGAAGCTGTGGACCCTTCAGCAGCCACATAGATGGTGATAGAAGGGTGAACAGGCATAGCATTTTATAACAGAGAAGACAGAAAAATGGCAGTGAAGCTTGTGGTTATAGATCTTACCTTCCAAATCTATGTGTTTTGTACAAGGAGTGAGGTTATAGATAAACTGTTGGAACCATGAGGATAATGTTACTATGTTCGTGTGTACTTTGTTCCATAAAACTGCTAAGCCATGAACAGTTTTCTTTGCTACTTAGAATAGTTATACATTTAAACTTACGTTATCCAGAGCCAATGAAAGCTAAGATATATGATTATATAAGTACGAAGGGATTGTGTTCATTGTGGCAGTGGGCCCATTCAATATAGAAAATTAAAAGTTAAGAAGTATAAACCTTGAGGTACAAGTGGCTGGAGAAAAGAGTTAGCAAGTTTTAGGCAACTCGCAATAGTAAAGTCACACAGTCTTAACTACAATGGAATATGAATGAACAACAACAACAAAACTTCTGTTCTATCACAGACACTTCACCAAAGAAGACATTCAAGCGGCCAACAGACACATGAGGAAATGCTTGCGATCACTAGCCATTAGAGAAATGCAAATTAAAACCACAATGAGATACCATCTTACCCTGGCATTACTGGCACAAATTAAAAAAGCTGGAAATAACAAATGTTGGAGAGGCTGTGGGGAGATTGGAATTCTTATGCCCTGCTGGTGGGAATGCAAAATGATACAACCATTTTGGAAAATGACATGGCGCTTCCTTAGAAAGCTAGAAATAGAAATACTATACGATCCAGCAATCCCATTCCTAGGAATATATCCTAGAGAAAGAAGAGTCATCACGTCAGGACAGCCTGGTACTGATACAGCAACAGATACATAGACCAGTGGAACAGAGTTGAGAATCCAGATATAAGCTCATCCACCTATGAGCAGCTAATATTTGACAAAGGCCCAAAGTCCATTAATTGGGGAAAAGACAGTCTCTTTAACAAATGGTGCTGGCATAACTGGATATCTATATACAAAAAACTGAAACAAGACCTGTATCTCACACCATGTACAAAAACTAACTCAAAATGAATCAAAGACTTAAACATAAAATCGAAAACAATAAAGATCATGGAAGAAAAAATAGGGACAACACTAGGAGCCGTAATACATGGTGTAAACACAATACGAAACATTAGTAACAATGCACAAGCACCAGAAGAGAGACTAGATAAATGGGATCTCCTAAAAATCAAACACTTATGCTCATCAAAAGACTTCACCAAAAGAGTAAAAAGACAACCTACAGACTGGGAAAAAATTTTTGGCTACGACAAATCTGATCAGCATTTAATCTCTAAAATCTACAAGCTACTGCAAAACCTCAACAACAAAAAGACAAATAACCCAATTAAAAAATGAGCAAAGGATATGAACAGGCACTTCACCAAAGAAGATATTCAGGCAGCTAACAGACACATGAAGAAATGCTCACGATCATTAGCCATTAGAGAAATGCACCCCAACAAGGCTAGCATTAATTCAAAAAACACAAAATAACAAATGCTGGAGAGGTTGTGGAGAGACTGGAACACTTATACACTGTTGGTGGGAATGTAAAATGGTACAACCACTTTGGAAATTGATTTGGCGCTTCCTTAAAAAGCTAGAAATAGAAGTACCATACGATCTATCAGTCCCACTCCTTGGAATATATCCTAGAGAAACAAGAGCCATCACACAAATAGATATATGCACACCCATGTTCATTGCAGCACTGTTCACAATAGCAAAAAGATGGAATCAACCTAGGTGCCCATCAATGGACAAACAGATAAACAAACTATGGTATATCCACACAATGGAATATTATGCAACGATAAAGAACAATTATGAAGCTGTGAAACATCGTATAACATGGTGGAAGCTGGAACTTATTATGCTGAGTGAATTTAGTCGGTCACAGGACAAATACTGTATAAGGCTACTATTATAAGAACTCAAGAAAAGGTTTAAACACAGAAGAAAACATTGTTTGATGGGTACGGGGGTGGGGAGGGAGGGTGAGGGTTATTTACTAACTAGATAGTAGATAAGAATCATCTTAGGTGAAGGGAAGGACAGCACACACTACAGGGGAAGCCAGTACGACTGGACTAAACAAAGCTAAGACGTTTCCTCAATACAGTCAAATACGTTGAGAGACAGAGTAGCAGAGATGGGGAGTCTGGGGACCATACTTTCAGGGGACATCTAGTTCAATTGGCATAACAAAGCTTTTTAAGAAAATGTTCTGCATCCTACTTTGGTGAGTGGTGTCTGGGGTCTTAAAAGCTTTCAAGCGGCCATCTAAGATGCATCAATCGGTCCCAACCACTTGGAGTAAAGAAGAACGAAGAACACCAAAGACGCAAGGAAAGTATTAGCCCAAGAGACAGAATGGGCCACGTAAACCAGAGTCTTCATCAGGCTGAGACCAGAAGAACTAGATGGTGCCCGGCTACCACTAATGAGTGTCCTGACAGGGAACACAACAGAGGGTCCCTGATGGAGCAGTAGAGCGATGGGATGCAGAACTCAAATTCTAGTAAGAAGACCAGACTTAATGGTCTGACCGAGACTGGAGGTGCCCCGGAAAGCATGGCCCCTGGACTCTCTATCACCCCAGAACTAAAACAATTTCCGAGGCCAACTCTTCAGACAGGGATTGGACTGGACTGTGGGACATAAAGTGATACTCACGAAGAATGTGCCTCTTAGTCAAGTAGCTACAAGAGACTAAAGGGGCAGCTTCTGTCCAGAGGTGAGATGGGAAGGCAGAGAGAGAAGCTGGTTGAATGTTCATGGGGAATCAGGGGCAGAGGGGAAGAGAGTGCTGTCGCAGAATTGGGTGAGTGGTTGGGGTCTCATAACAATGTACGTAAAAAAAAAATTTGTGTGGGAGACTAACTTGAAATGTAAACTTCATATAATTACAACAATTAAAAAAAAAAGAAGCGCCATCACACAAATAGACATATGCACACCCATGTTCATTACAGCATTGTTCACAATAGCAAAAAGATGGAAACAACCTAGATGCCCATTGTCTTAGTCATTTAGTGCTGCTATAACAGAAATACCGCAAGTGGATGGTTTTAACAAAAAGAAGTTTATTTCCTCACAGTCAAGTAGGCTAAAAATCCAAATTCAGGGCGTCAGCTCCAGGGGAAGGCTCCTTGTCTCTGTCGGCCTTCTCTTTGGTGTTCCCCCAGACTAGGAGCTTCTCCGCGCGGGGACCCCGGTCCAAAGGACGCGCTCTGCTCTCAGCACTGCTTTCTTGATCGTATGAGGTCCCCCTGTCTCTCTGCTCACTTCTGTCTTTTATATCTCAAGACATTGCCTCAGGATACAATTCAATCTTGTAGACTGAGTCCTGCCTTACTAACAACTGCCGCCCCTCCTCCCTCATTAACATCATAGGGGCAGGATTTACAACATATAGGAAAACCACACAATACCAGGACTCATGGCCTGACCAAATTGATACACACATTTTTTCGGGGACATAATTCAATCCATGACACCCATCAACAGATGAATGGATAAACAAACCACGGTACATACATACAATGGAGTATTATGCAATGATAAAGAACAGTGATGAATCTGTGGAGCATCTCATAACATGGATGAAACTGGAGGACATTATGCTGAGTGAAATAAGTCAATCCCAAAAGGACAAATATTGTATGAGACTTCTACTTGAAAAACTCATGAAAAAGTTTACACACAGAGAAACAATCTTTGTTGGTTACGAGGGATGGTGGGGGAATACTAAATAGACAAGAGATAAGTGGTAACTTTAGTGAAGGGTAAGACAGTACACAATACTGGGGAAGCCAGCACAGCTTGTACAAGGAAAGGTTGTGGAAGCTCCATAGACATATCCAAACTCCCTGAGGGACTGAATTCCTCGGTGGTGGGCTGTGAGGACCACGGTCTGGGGGAATGTTCTACGTTCTACCTTGTAACGTCTGGGGTCTTAAAAGCCTGTGAGCAGCCATCTAAGATACTCCACTGGTCTCACACCTTCAGCAGCAAGGGAGAATGAAAAAAACAAGATACGAGGGAAAGATTAGTCCAAAGGACTAATGGACCACAACTACCACGGCCCCTGCCAGACTGAGTCCAGTACAACTAGACGGTGCGCGGCTACCACCACTGACTGCTCTGACCGGGATCACAACAGAGAGTCCTGGACAGAGCTGGATAAAAATGTAGAACAAAGTTCTAACTCACAAAAAAAGGCCAGACTTACTGGACTGACAGAGACTGGAGAAACCTTGAGAGTATGGCCCCCGGACACCCTTTTAGCTCAGTAATGAAGTCACTCTCGGGGTTCACCATTCAGCCAAAGATTAGACAGCCCCATAAAACAAAACGAGACTAATGGGGAGCAACAGTCCAGAGACAAAGACTAGAAGGCAGGAGGGGACAGGAAAGCTGGTAATAGGAAACCCAAGGTTAAGAAGGGACATTGTTGACATGTTGTGGGGTTGTTAACCCTTGTCATAAAACAATATGTGTACTAACTTTAATGAGAAACTATTTGTTCTGTAAACCTTCATCTAAAGTACAATAAAAAAATAAATACAAAAACTTCTGTTCTATCATAGAATTTACAGCCGGAAGAAATCTTAGAAAGTATGTCATGTAATTTCTTTCCTTAAGTCTATCTACTACCATAGATCCTTATTTATCCTTTACATCATGGTATATTAAATAGGTTAACACAATCCTTTTCAAAGGAAAGCAAATAGCTGGTGCTGTTGGAAGATTAGGCATTTTTCGCAATTACAGGCTACATATTTTCCATGTGCCATTTTGAATCAGCTGTTGATTTTACAGTTGTGTGAGGTGTTTCAATTGGCGTTATCCTTTTGACAAATATTAAAAAATATTACAAGTTAACTGACTTTTAAATGTATTTCAGAGACAACAGAGAGTTATGATTAAAACCTAGATATGTTGCCTTATATGGAATCTATTTCTTGGGCTCTGTTCTTTTTTAGATGACTGCCATTTATTATTAGGCTTTAGAGGTGGAAAGGAGCTAAGAAATCAAGATTGTAAAAAGCATTTGTAATATTTCATTAATG